CATTAATACATATTATTTTATTATTTTTTGTTAACAATTATTACCATATTAAATATCGATTTTTACTTCAAATCACCGGGGGTGATCATCACCGTTGGCCAGAATTATCAATTTTTACCGGCACTATATTTTTTAATGCTGGTCGATCGTCATAATTTCAGTCACCGGTGATCATCACCTCCGGTGATAGTTAGAAAAATTCTTAAATATCTAATTATAAACAAAAAACTACTATAACCGTCTTTAATTTACTTAGTATTACATTATAATGCTAAATTTTTCTATTTAAACAAACCCATTGGTCCCAGTGCAAAGCAACAGGTAACTGATAATACAATTCATTCCGCTTTAGAATTTTTTTTTTTTTAAGAAAGAAAAAAAATATGTCATCTGCACTCTGCAGTACTGTATTATGTCAAGTCAAATCAAAGGATTAGATGGTGGATTTATCAATGGTTTGGCAAACTATATGATTTCACCAAAAACTTTCATTTTATAAATACAAAATTTGACATTTCTTAATACAATGTATAGTTATTTATTAGTATTATTCATTTCAAGTTATTGCCTCACATTAAACAGTTTAGAAATGCCGCCCTGTCAGGGACTAAGGCAACTTGTTAATTTTATAAAATAAGAATATTTTTATATAATATATATGTAGTAAAATTATGAATCTTTAAGTGCGCCAATATTTTTGAATTTTATGTAACTGTTATCGTCGAGAGGGTGAAAGTTGATCAAATTTTGATTTAAGAAATAAAGTAAACAAATAAAATAGATAAATAGTTCAACGCAAAATGAAAAGAGATTACAATACAGGATTATTAACTGTGTTGATGGCAAGAGGACATCATTGTCAAGATCTTTCTTATACTTATTCTATTGATACAGATTCCATTGCTTTATCCAAAATGAAGTTCCATTACCTTTATTGATTTTTAATGAATAAAATGAATAAGAAGAAAGTATTGAATGCAATATCACAAAAAAGTTCAATCATGAAAAAAAAATTTCCAGAAAATTAAATTCTATAGAAGAATATAATTTCAAAATCAAAAAGAGTTATTATTTATTTTTTATATACCATATACACTGTATAAATGATAAGAGTTAATATTTTGAACATAATTTTGTATTGTTTTATTCTTTACTACATGAAATTCATACTGATTATTTTGATTTACTTTCCTTGACGTAAATACTTGTTCAAAAGAACGTTATATAGTATGATTGTCACATATCTTTTACTTATTTACTTTATTTACTTTGGAAAATATATTAAAGTAATTTGTGAACACTGTATCTTTATTAACTATGAGGAAATTAAAGTGATACAAACAATTTACGATAAGTCAATTAAATCATAATTCGTTAAATTCTTGAAACAAATAGAACGATTTATACTATATATTAATATCACAATTTTATAATTATTAAAGAATGCAATAAAGCTTGCTTGTACGAAAATAATTTTCATTTCGTGTAGCTGTTCTTAATGCATTACAATCGTCACATGCAAGAGAACAATAATCAACTGCAAGTTTTTTTATGATTTTTATGCTAAAAAAGTTTTCAGAAAATCATTTATACATACATTACATCTCTTCACAATATTGATTTAACAATAAGAATGTCCCTAATGTGAATGTATCATTAAGCTCTGAATCACAATACTTCTAGCTTGATGAAGATCTCATAGTTCCATATTAACTAATCAACACTAGAAAATTCTTGTGTTGGACTGGTAAGTTATAAACTGATATTCCAAATTTGCTGATAATATATTCCTTTTCATCTACTGTTCCTGGAGATGGAACCTTATTTACATATTATACTATTAGATAACATGAGGCATCATCGATAGATCACCATTTTTAACTATATGAATTTTACGAATTCAAACTGCTGGAACTACAGTAGATATTTTTATATTATTATCAATTATTAAATCATCTTTTTTTTTTTAATATGAAAAATCAATCATACCGGTATTCTTGAATAAATGTTGCAATCCAGTTACATAAGAATCAGAGTTTGTTAAGCCTTTCAATAATTTCATCAAAATCTGTAGATATAGAATCAACAATACTTGGATTGTTAACTTTGGATAAAATTATGGAGTGTCGTATAATCTAATTTATTCTCATCAATTACTATAAGAGCACCAAGTTTCTCGTCTTGCTTTTCGAGTATCTACCCGAATGATAAATGAGTTTACTTACAATATAAATAATTTAGTAATTATAAAAAATGCAAACTTACGTCAATCTTGTTTTATTTGTTATATCTTCTGAACCTAATTCATCATTGTCTTTCTTGAGAATATAGCGATAAAGATATTCTCTAATAGTTTTCCTTGCATTTTTTTCTTCGCTCTTTTCTAAAACATTTGTGTCAAATATATATAGGTGGCACCTTTTTACATATGCACTGACATTTTCCCACACTTATCTATCTCCCATTCCGTATTTTCTTAATTTCTTTACAAAGTAGTGTCAAGCTTTTTAACTGCATTACCTTCATCGTTTTATTACTTTTGGCTGTTTTTTTTTCTTGACATGATGTATTTTAACAAATTGCTGATCTATCGACTATACGATGTATTTATATAATTTGTAGGATATTTATCCAATCACATGATCTAGGTACAGAGCTAATGCCGTTTGCCACCACTAGCTACAAAAATAAATTTATTATGTTTGATAAAAATTCTGAAAATTCCCAACTAGATACATCATAATTAATAGTAATGTAAAATTCCTAAAAGCTTCTACTAAAAACCTCTATTTTGTAAATTAACAAAGATAAATTATGGCATATAAACGTGATGCCAATGCATTCATACCGTCAATGGGTTCTTATAACAACTTGCAATTTTTCTGATTGAATTGGCATTGGAGTCTCCACGATCACCTAGATATGACAGTCAAATATTAAAAAAGTAAGGCTAATTGAAAAGGGAATTTAGTAAATAATGACTTACCAAATCTTTATATTTAGTGACTGTAGCACAACGTATTAAAACGAAAGATTAAAAATTTTTTCTTTATCAGATACATACTGTATTTATATTATCTATGCTGCCCGGTTGAACTACAGAACTACTGACCTCTCCAACTCCATGATTTACAGTTAAAAGATATTTTTTTCCCGATTGTCCTTTTGCTGTAAAAAGTTTGCCTAGTGTGAATGCTTCATAACACTTTGAATCACTAATACTTATTCCTGGTTTGAGATTTTCATGATATTCATGACATCTGTTACTAGTTTCACTAGTTGAAGCTTTCATAGCTCCATAATCAACTATTACTGGGAAACCATTGTATTTGACCGGCAAGTTATAAACTGGAGTTCCTCTTGGCAAATTTACTGTGGCGAGAATATAATTCTTTCCCTCTACTTTTCCTGGACATGTAATAGACAATGGAACCTTGTTTTTATATTCTTTCATTAGATGCCTTGAGGCAACTACGATTTTTTTTATGAAGATCCAAGTCTTCAATTGCACAAATTCTGCGATCCCCAACTACTAGAACTACAATGGAAATTTTATATTATTATTGTTATTAAATCTTTTTTTTTCAATATGTAAAATTGATCATACCGATATTCTTGAATAAAAACTTTAACCGTTGCAACCCAGTTACATAAAAATGCAGCTCTTTTTCAATTGATAACTTCTGCTCAAGTTTACTAATTCTTTCAATGATTTCATCAAAATCTGCAGATATAGGATCAATAATACCGGGATTGTTGACATTTATTTTCATCAAATTATTGAGTGACGTGTAGTCTAATTCATTTTCATCAATTTCTAGGAGGGCAACGAGTTCTTCATTTCGCTCATTAGGCCTATCCAAATGATAAACGAGTTTACTTACAATGTAAATAATTTAGGAATTATAAAAAAATGCAAACTTACGTCATATAATTTGTTCCATCTTATTAAATCTTCTGAACCAGATTCATTGTCTTGAACATAACGATAAAGATATTCCCTAATAGTTTTTCTTGCACGTTTTTCTTCACCTTTTTCTAAAAAATTGGTATTAAATATGTATAGGTGGCGCCTTTTTACATAAGCACTGACATTTCTTGTTCATATTTATTTATTCCATAATCCGGTATATTCTCAATTTCTTCATAACTGAAAGTAGTGATTTTATTGTTGTATGACCTTTAGTTGAGTCTTTTTTAACCGCGTTATCATAATATTCACTATAACAAAGATGAGTACTAATTAGTAGTAACATAATACTCCAATACCCGCTCAACGTTTTATTACTTACCGTACAGTTTTGACTGATCGTAATTTTAACATGATGAGAAGACGAGAAGTAAAAAATACCATAAATAAATTTCAGTTTTTTGCTTTATATTTATATATTATTGTATAGAGAGGAGCAATATCACTTATTATTCCAAGTCGTTTGTTTTACTTTTCTTTTTCAAGAACAATTGAAAGTGATTCATTAAAAAAAATGATTAAAATAATAGTATTTGATAAAATAGTTTGGCGTAATTTTAATTATTTTAAATAATTTTATTGTATTACTTATTGTGACATACATAGTAACTTCAGTATGATCATAAAAATTGATTCGATGATCAAACATAGCAAGAGAAGGGAACTGAATCAATTTATATTTATTGAAATAAATATAAAATTCATATAATGAACTTTATAAAGAATTGTTTTATTTTACTATTGAAAAAATAGTACCTGTTTCAATGTTTCATCGTAAAAAATCAATTAAACAAAAAAAGAGAAGATCGGAATTATTTAATTATTAACCTCCTTATAATTAACCTCCTTATCAAATAATTCGATAGATTTTTTTTGCCGAAATAATAATAATGATCATATCCTGGAATGCATTAGATCATTGGCAATTCATATCTCGAAATGAAAATTTGTACATTTTTATAGATTAGTTAGTTTGCACTTTTATGGATTAGATTTTGGATTCAATCTAACCAAAATCCAAATTTAGGTGAAAAGTCTCAAAATTATTATATATATAAGTTAGAAGTATAGCAAAACTATACTTTTTTTGGATTTTTTTTTGTTGAAAAAAAAAATCCAAAAAAATCATAAAATAAAAAAAGGAAACGCCTTTCCATTTTTGATTACCTTTTTCTCTTTCGTAAAAATTATTTTTAATTTTTTTTTATTATGTATCCGAAAATTCGCAGATCACTATTTACAATTGATTTCTCATTCTTAAAAAAAGTGATTAATCTTAAGAAGGAAATCACTTTCTTATTTTAATCTAGTAAAAAAAATTTTGAATTGATGAAAAAAAAAAGATTGTGATAAAAAATATTTGACTAATCTAAAAACTTTTTTTTTTTCAAATAAAAGAAAAAATGTCAATATGAATATTTTTTGTTTGATAGGAACAATGGCTAATATTCTAACTCAACGAATTCACCCAATCAAAATAATTCAACCTAATTCAATTACAATGTAATCCATTGCATATGGCTAATGAGATTGGAAATCTTTATACCCGTATTATCTGTTATAAAACATCTCATAAATCACACCGTAAGTAAAAATGCATCTCTATGGTTTTTCGGTTAAACGTCCGATAGATTTCTTTCAATAAACGAAAAAATGAATATTAATATGGATTTCTATGGATAGGTTTCATTTTTATCCCTTTTATAGGTAGGACAGGACACTGAAGGGCTCATGTCATTATCTATTTAATTCGGCAACATACGATAAAAAACAGTTGGATATCCAATAATTCCATATTTGTAATATTGCAAACGTCCCATGAATATGAAAATTCGAAAATCATTGACTAGGGTCTAGGGCTGCTACGTTGTAATAAATTTATTAGTTTCTCTTCACAACGTTCTATTCTCTCTTTGAGTATCAGAACGCTCTCATTATCTACTGTTAAATTACCCATTCTCGTTCAAGCGCTTGCTTTTGAGAGCGAAATGTTTTTTTTGGGGATAAAGTTTATTAAGTGCATTTTTGTCACCTTCACTTAATTTTTCACGTTGACCTGAGTTGTATAAAATAAAAAAGTGAGTAGTATGAAACAAATAAAAGGAGTAATAAAATCTGAAAATACAAACTAAATTAACAAAAATTCATTTAAATATAGAATGATTTATTAAATATTTTGTAATATTGATTCGAATATACAGTACATTTATTGACTCAAAAAAATAATAAAAAAATAAAATAATTCATTTGTTAAATTTCTTTATACATAATATTATTCACTCACTTAATAGTATTTAAAGTTAATTAAGTATTAAACTGTAAAGTTAAGAATCAAACGCGGCACAGTAACTTATATATTAAAAAAAAAATTGTTAACTTCGCAAAAAATTAATAAATGGTATTTAAACTAATTTAACAAAAATTAATATCTCGTAACTAAGCAAATAATTGGTTTGGGTGTGATTATTAAGTATTGCTATTAAGTTAAATCATCAATATTTATATAATAAATACGTTCCAAAGATGAGAATTTCATTCTTAAAATAATTTATCAATGATGAAATTGGTCTTTAATGTAAAAACAAAAAGTTTATTCAAAAAATAATAATACGGTATATTCTTTACTTCTTCGCGCCGAATTTTAAAAGAATGTAAGGATTTTTTAAATAGTTATCATTAAAGGTTTTATTTCATTATTTATTGTTCTATTGTTTAATATTATGTTAAAAAAAAAAATAATGAAATTTGATGTTAATAAAAGAAAATCAAGAAAATTGAAAAGATTCTTTAAATTTTGACCATATATCACATATTTACTCTATCATTCGAATAACTTCTATAACAATCAATCAAAACATCTAAACGCGCTAGTTTTGTAACCGTTGTAATTCAATAAACAGCAATGTTTTTCCCGACATTTATTAAACTTTGAATTTTGCATTTACGTGTTCTCGATGCCATCTTACCTAAAGTTTAACGTTAGTTTTAGACTTTATTAATTATTTTTGATGGACATATCGTAGTACAAATGATGAATGTGATATACGTTACACAGAATTGCAGACATTACTCAAAATTCATATGACGTAATTGAGCACCTTTGACATGAGAACGTTCATTATTACAGTATTATAATTATTAGATGCAGGGGTTATTATACAATCACAGACTTATGAGACTTATGGTTGCAGTTATACAAAGAAATACGACTTTTCAACTCCGTCTTTTGGCCTTTTATTCGTTCGCTATGGTTTATTGACTTGAGCAATTTGTTGTATTTAACTTCTACCATTTCAACTTTTGCTACTCCAAAAACGAGAATTTCTGAGACTATTTGAATATGTTGTTAACTAACGTCATCTTGAAAACTATTACTTATATCACTTTTCAATCTCAGATTTCCTATGAAAAAAAAAACAAGTTGAAAATTATATACACGCATTGCATTTCTTTTATCCTATGTTAATACAAATGCACAGTTTGCTTTTTTTACTGATTATTTATATTTACTACTCATTTCTTTAAGTTAAACCTAAAAAATTATGTAAATTAACTCCGATATCCGGAAACTCTTACTACTCAGAAAGTCCAAAGAAATAACCAGTTAATAAAAAAATAGTCAACATGGAGACTGCGCCACAACAGTAGAAGCCGATCTGCCGATGTCTATGATTTTTTATCACGTGGACGATTTTCTCAGTTTTCGGGGAGAAGAAAATAAAATCTTTACAACTACACATGTACCACCAATCTCAATATAATTAATATACAGTAACTTTGGCATATTGCAACAGCTGCGCCTCGAAAAGTACACCTAATGTGAACGAAACCCTTTTTGATGTAAAATTATTGCTTTAATTCGTGCATAAGATACTCTTGTAACCATATCAGTAGCATCTTGAGATATATTTCCAAGTGGTGTAATATCTTCTAATACATCTACAACATCTCCTACATTTAATTTTACGTTAACTTGCTCATCTTTACTATAGTAAATAGGAGAGGTTTCGCATTATATCAACTTTTTTATTACTTTGATGCATGGCACCCCGCATACATAACAGTAAATTAAAAAATAAAGAGCAAACTTTATTGCTAAAAAAAATAAAAAGATTATTGTAAAATTCACAGATTAATTATTGTATTTTCTATTATACAGTTTACAGTATTTCAATCTTTATAAATATCAACCACAATAATAGGTGTTCCAGAGTGCCCCATTGATCCCTCGTATCGCCAACCAAAATTCAAGTTTCCTTGATATGTTTGACTGTCTCCACTACTGTCTCCTTTATTGGGTGAGCAGTAGTACATCCCTCTATATAAATCTAAATCAATAATATAAAATAAATATTGGGTAATTTAGATTTAGTAAGCAGAATTAGAATTATTACCATCATTAGCCTCAATAAAACCATCATAAACTATAATGGACCACCAATTACTATAAATATTGTAGTCAAATGGGATGCTCCACATAAAGGCTAAAGATTGATTTTGATCTTTGATATGATACACAAAAACTCCTACAGTTCCTGTAGATACAGGTCCAGCTGTCTTACGAGTACCCCAAACCAAACCTTCACAATTTGAGACCGGACCGGGAATCCCCCAATCAGATGTACCAGAGTAAAAGTATACACTATGTTTATCATGAATTTGTTTTGAATGATTTTTAATAGTAATAACGGTTTTTCTTGCGACATCACCTACTAGTTGTGAAAGAAAATTGTTTTGATTTAACAGTTGATTCAGCTGCTTTGGAAAGTACCGTGCTATTTGGAAAACCGCCATGGTCAAAAGTGCGTAGCAAAACATAGCGTGTACATGCTATGTTTTGCTACGCACTTTTGACCATGGCGGCTTTCCATAAGTTCACTGACGCCAATACACATATACGTGAAAAACAATAAATTTTAGGATGATATTTATTTACAGCTTTATATAAAAATACTACAATTCAAATACCATCAGAAAAATTTCAGTAACCAAATTATCAATTGTTACTTATATGAATATTTATTCAATCAAATAAAAGCAAAATAAAAAAAAAGTAAAATATACATTTTAATGGAAAATAAAATATTTAGAAAATATTTATATATAACTATAACAATATTTAATATAAAAACTACAAAATCATTAAAATAATAAGCTAAAAAGAAAAATATGGAAATTCGAAAAATTTTGATACATTTGTTGGAATATTTATTGTGTAAATAACTTAACACTCGATTTTGCTTTTAATTTCGGTTTAAAATTCGGTTAAAATTTTTCCAAAAGATTTCAATGTTAAAAGTTTTGGATTTGATTTCACGTTTTTTCGTTAATTCAATGAAGTCCGGCATATAAGTTTGTGCGAATGACGAATAATAAAACTATTGAAAAATATATATATATATATATTAAAACGGAATATTATATTAAAAAAAATAAAAAAAATAAATTTTTTTTTACACTCACTTCAAATTCGGAATTATGAAGTTGAATAAAGTTATGTGCCAATACATGACAATATATCGTGAACCAAAAAGTCATAGCGTCAATCGTTGGTTTAGTATTACATTTTTGTTCGTGTAATTCAAGATAAAATTTTAAATTAAAAAATAACGCTCCATCACGATTAAATGCAATTGAGTTTACGCTATTATCATAAAATATGTGAATAGCTTTTGGTGTAACTTTAAAAACATCCGCTAAATCTTTTAACATATATATGAATTGGCTCAATGGGGCAATACGTGATTGAGACAAGATTTCTGATTGATCGACGTCAGTAGAGACGTAAAGTTCAATCTTTTGTAAATTTCCAACACAGTGCATTGAATAACCTAAAATAAATAAGTCAAGTTAAAAAAAATTTCATAGTAAACTTATTTAAAATTATATGTTGCTTATTACCAGGCATAGTTTCACAGTAATTAATTTTATTTTCATCGATACAAGTTTTAATACTATTAATATTACTTTCTGAATTAGAATAGCGAGATTTTATGGTAACTTGTAAAAAGTTTCGTAAATCTCGTGTATTCTCAGAAGAAATATATTCATTAAGTTTTGATGAAAATGTATTTGATGTACTTTGTGGTGGTTGATCGTTTTGTAATTTTGGATGAATTATTCCCATATTTTTTAAGTTTGATAAAGGTGCTGTTAAAATCGTGTTAAAATAAGGAATATTCTGATAATGTGATGTGAAAATATGATTGACTAATTGTTGTGAAATATCAATTAGATTAGAATTAGGTGTCACATAAAGAATCCATGAAATCGTGCTTTTTTGAGAAATATTGGTAGTCATATCATTTCTTTCGTTCTTTGTAATGGATCCTAACTTATAACTCGTTTCCATATATTCGATCTCTCTAACTTTTAGCTTTTGAAGCCATTTTTCATCTTTTCTAATGTGTTCTTCAGAATTATTTAAGTAGAGTAAGCTCGCTCGTTCTCTAATTATTCTTTGTAATTGTCGTGAATACTTAGTTTTTCGAATAGGACCATATGGAACCACGGATTTTGTCACAGATTCATGCAACGAACTACATCCAAGTTTCTAAAAAAAAAAAAATTGAAAAAAAAAGAATAAAAAATTAAGAACAATAAAAAAAAAAAATATATGAGTAAATAATTTAAACACATAAACCTTATAAAAATCTCGCAAGTTGTCAGGTGGTGTAAATGGATTAAGATTTTTATGATATACTTTATCATCATTTATGTAAATTTCTTTTACTGTTGCTAAACAATAACTGTTATTTCCTTCACTATCAGTTTTAATAGCAATTAGAACATCATCTTTGTTTAAATTTTTTTCTGGAAACTTATTATCAACTTCCTTAATTTTTTCCAAAACATGTAAATACTTTTTAGTATTTTTTTTACACATATCCCACAATTCACGTGATGATTTAAACAGCAATCGGTGAGCGTCTTCAAATAATAAGTCGGAATTAACACCACATTTAGTCAAAAATTTATTAGCATTTGTTCCAAAATCAATACACGGAAGGAAATCATTCAATCTAATAAGTAAATAAATAAGTAGATGAATAAAATTTATATATATATAATTAGGTAAAAAAATATATTAAGGTACTTGCCTTTTATCTTTAAATTTAAGGTAACAGTCACGTGGTTTGATAAGGTCGACATCAATATTTTTTTTATGAATTGGAATAAATTCGAAATCTTTAAGCTTTTTCCAATCAGAATCAGTAAAACCTTCTTGTTGTGTATTCAAATACTCAAAAACTTCTTTGGCCTTATTTTTATTTTTTGGTGGGTTCTCAGTTAACCCATTTATGAGTTCTTCACGATTAGGATTTTGACGAACACCAAAATCTCCTGCTTTAGAACGTAAATCTTCACGTATAATTTTGAATCCAATTGACTTACATTTGTCATTAATAAAGCATTCCGAATGTTTTGCATAAGAAATAGAATTTGAGCAAGGTAAAAATGCAACATCAATTTCTTCTGGTTTATAAAACTTTGAATATTTACTATAAAAATTATCAACAAAATATTTGAAAGCTAACTCCCGAATTTTAGGATAATTTGATTTTGCTGCCAGGTTGAGAATTGTTTTGAGGTTGGGATTAATTTTTGTTAAAATCTTCAAATAATTTTCTAAATATAAACTCCATAATTTATGTGATGAATCAATTGATATTTTGGAAAAATCATACGAGGATGGTTTTTTAACACCACATTTGGCTAAAAATTCATTGGCCTTTGTACCAAAATCAACACATGGAAAGAAATTATTCAAACTAAAAAAAAAAAAAATATTTTTCTATTAAAAAAAAAAGATATTCATTAAAAATATTTGTATTCAAAAAGTACATACCTTTCTTCTTTGAGTTTAAGAAAACAGTCACGTGATTTAACGAGTTTGTTAGGTTGAATTGGAATAAATTCAAAATCTTTAAGCTTCTTCCAATCAGAATCAGTAAAACCTTCTTGCTGTGTATTCAAATATTCAAAAACTTCTTTTGCCATATTTGCATTTTTTGGTGGGTTCTCAGTTAACCCATTTATGAGTTCTACACGATTGGGATTTTGACGAACACCAAAATCTCTTGCTTTAGAACGTAAATCTTCACGTATAATTTTGAATCCAATTGACTTGCATTTATCATTAATAAAACATTCCGAATGTTTTGCATAAGAATTAGAATTTGAGCAAGGTAAAAATGCAACATCAATTTCTTCTGGGTCATAAAATTTTGAATATTTACTATAAAAATTATCAACAAAATATTTGAAAGATAACTCCCGGATTTTAGGATAAATTGGATTTGCTGCCAGGTTAAGAATTGTTTCAAGGTTGGGATTAATTTTTGTTAAAATTTTCAAATAATTTTCTAAATATAAATTCCACAATTTATGTGATGGATCAACTGTTATTTTGGAAAAATCATACGGAGATGGCTTTCTAACGCCACATTTGGCTAAAAATTCATTGGCCTTTGTACCAAAATCAACCCATAGAAAGAAATTATCCAAACTATAAAAAAAAAGAAAATATTTTTCTATTAAAAAAAAGATATTCATTAAAAATATTTGTGTTCAAAAAGTACATACCTTCCCTCTTTGAGTTTGAGAAAACAGTCACGTGGTCTAACAAGTTTGTTAGCAGATTGAATCGGAATAAATTTGACATTTTCAAGCTTCTTCCAATCGGAATCAGTAAAACTTTCTTGTTGTGTATTCAAATAATCAAAAACTTCTTTTGCCACATTCGCATTACTTGGTGGGCTCTCAACTAATCTATTTATGAGTTTTACACGATTAGGATTTTGACGAACACCAAGTTTTCCCGCTTTAGAACGTAAATCTTCATGTATAATTTTAAAATTCATTATCATGCATCTATAATTAGTAAAGCAATCCGAGGGCTTTGTACAAGCATCGAAATTTGAGCAAGGTATAAATGCAATATTGATTTGTTCTGGTTTATAAACTTTAGCATATTTTTTATCAAAGTTGTCAATAAAATATTTAATTGCCGTTACACGAAATTTAGAATTGGTAGGAGGAGATGCCAGGTTGAGAATTTTTTCGAGATTTGGATTAATTTTTTCTAGTATGATCGGATATTTTTCTACATATAAATTCCACAATTTATGTGTTGGACCAACTGATATTTTGTCAAAATCATATGAAGATGGTTCTCTAACGCCACATTTAGCCAAAAATTCATTGGCCTTTATACCAAAATCTACACATGTAAAGAAACTATTCAAGCTAAAAAAAAAGGGAAATATTTTTTCTTTAAAAAAAAAAAATAAATAAAATAAAAGATATTCATTAAAAAAAAATTTTTTTAAAAAGTACATACCTTTCTTCTTTGAGTTTAAGGAAACAGTCACGTGGTTTAATAAGTTTGTATTGTTGAATTGGAATAAATTTGTGTTGTTGAATTGGAATAAATTCTAAATCTTTAAGCATCTTCCAATCAGAATCAATAAAACCCTTTTGTTGTGTATTCAAATATTCAAAAACTTTTTTTGCCACATTTACATTTTTTGGAGGATTCTCAATTAACTTATTTATGAATTTTACACGATTAGGATTTTGACAAACACTAAAATCTCCTGCCTTAGAACGTAAATCTTGACGTATAATATTGAATCCCATTATCTTGCATTCATCATTAATAAAACATTCTGAATGCTTTGCATAAGAATTAGAATTTGAGCAAGGTAAAAATGCAATATCAATATTTTCTGGTTTATAATCTTTAACATATTTTTTATCAAAGTTGTCAACAAAATATTTAAGAGCCATTGCATGTAATTTAGGATTGGTAGGAGGAGTTGCCAGTTTGAGAATTTTTTCGAGATTTGGATTAATTTTTTCTAGGATGACTGGGTAATTTTCTACATATAACTTCCACAATTCATGTGATGGATCAACCGATATTTCGGCAAAATCATATGATGATGGTTCTCCAACGCCACATTTAGCCAAAAATTCATTGGCCTTTGTACCAAGATCAACACATGGAAAGAAATTATTTAAGCTAAAAAAAAAAAGGAATATATTTTTCTTTAAAAAAACAAAAGATATTTATTAAAAAAAATTTCAAAAAGTACATACCTTTCTTCTTTGAGTTTAAAGAAGCATTCACGTGGATTAAAAAGTTTGTTAGGTTGACTTTCATATTGAATCGGAATAAATTTAAAATTTTCAAGCTTCTTCCAATCAGAATTAACAAAATCTTTTTGTTGTGTATTCAAATATTCAAAAACTTTTTTTGCCACATCATCACTTTTTGGTGGATTCTCAGTTAACCTCGCTATAAGTTTTGCACTATTAGGATTTTGATGAATACCAAAATCCACTGCTTTAGAACGTAAATCTTCACGTATAATTTTGAATCCCATTATCTTACATTCATCATTAATAAAGCAATCCGAAGGCTTTGCACAAGTATCAGAATTTGAGCAAGGTAAAAATGTAATATTGATTACTTCTGGTTTATAATATCTAGCGTATTTTTTTTTAAAGTTGTCAATAAAATATTTAAGAGCCATTGCACGTAATTTAGGATTAATGGGAGGGGCTGCCAGTTCCAGAATGTTTTCGAGATTTGGATTAATTTTTTCTAGGATGACCTGATATTTTTCCACATATAAATTCCACAATTTATGTGATGGATCAACTGATAATTCGGCAAAATCATATGATGATGGTTCTCTAACGCCACATTTAGCTAAGAATCTATTGGCCTTTGTACCAAAATCAACACAGAGAAAGAATTCATTCAAGCTAAAAAAAAAAAGAAGAAATATATATTTAATTTTTAAAAAACATGTAACTTTCGTTAAAAAAATATTTATATTTAAAAAGTACACACCTATCATCTTTAAGTTTAAAGAAACAGTCATTTGGTTTGATATATTTGTTGTTTGGACTATTTTCATCTTGAATTGGAATAAATTGAGAATTTATAAGTGTATTCCAATTATGATTAAATTTATTCAAATATTCAAAAACTTTTTTTGCCTCATTTTTATTTTGTGGTGGGTTCTTAATTAACTTTTCTGTGAGTTTTGTATAATCAGGATTTTGTTGGATACCAAATTTTTCTGCTTTAGAACGTAAATCTTTACGTATAATTTGGAAATTCATTATCATACATTCATCATTAATAAAGCAATCCAAAGGCCTTGCATAAGCATTGGAATTTGAGCAAGGTAAAAATGCAATATTGACCATCCCTGGATTGTAAACTCCAACGTATTTTCTATCAAAGTTGTCAATAAAATATTTAAGAGCCATTGTACGTAATTTAAGATCGGTAGGAGGAGCTGCCAAGTTGAGAATTTTTTCAAGGTTTGGATTAATGTTTTCTAGGATGACTGGATATTTTTCTACATATAACTTCCATAATTTATGTGATGGATCAACTTTTATTTCGGCAAAATCATTAGAAGTTTGCTTTTTAACACCACATTTGGACAGAAATTCATTGGCCTTTGTTCCAAAATCAACACAGAGAAAAAAATCATTCAATCTAAATAATAATTAATAATAATTGTTGTTAAAGTATCTATAAAATTTTTATTAAAAAAAGAGTTATATTTGAAGAGTACTTACTTTTCATCCTTAAGTTTAAAGAAACAATCACGTGGTTTTATATGTATGTTCTCATTTTTTATTGGAATAAATTCGGAATTGTTAAGAATATTCCAATCAGCATTGGTAAAGTCGTGTTGTCGTGAATACAAATATTCAAAAACTTTCATTGCGTTATTTTCACCTTGTGGTGGATTCTCAGTTAACCTCTTTACGAGTTTATCATGATTGGGATGTTGTTGAATACCAAATTTTTCTGCTTTAGAACGTAAATCTTCACGTACAACTTTGAAATTCATTATCATACATCTATCATTAGTAAAACACTCTGAAGGTTTTGCGTAAGTATTGGATTTTGAACAAGGTAAAAATGCAATATTAATTTCATCGGGTTTGTAATGTACAGAATATTTATCATAATTATCAATAAAATATTTAAGAGCTAATTCTCGAATTTTAGGATCATTTGAAGGTACCGCCAGGTTAAGAATTGTTTCGAGTTTGGGATATTCTTGTAAACCCAATTCAATTAAAAATTTTCCTATAAATTTTAATTAATTAAATATGTATAACTTGATAAGATAAACAAACAAATTAAATAATAGTTAGTTATATTACCTCCTTTTGAGCTATTAGACCATTCTGCATTCCAATCAATTATAGATAAACCAAGTTCACGAAGTGATCTTATAGGTACATATAAATCTCTGGCAATAAAACGTTGAATTTTTTTAGTTGTTGGTAAACCTAATAAATCTTCTTTAGGCCATATTGATTCATTTTTTAATATATTCTTTTCATTATCGTTGAGTTCATCATATATTGAAGCAAGATATTTTACAACTCCAACAAAGTTACAATCTTCTTGATTGACAAGTCGTTCAAGAATGAGTTTTAATTCTACAACCTATATAATTAATTTAATTAATTGTTTTAAAAAAAATTTTCTAAAATTATCATTCATAATGAATTATCATTACCTTACGAACTCCAAAATGTTCCATCAAATATTTAATACCCGACGTTGAGTTTTGAAATTTTATCGTTGGCAAGTTAGGAAATAGATTTACATCTTCGAAATAAGATTTATTGGGAAATTTCATTCCAAATTTAGTTGGTATACATCTTTTTGCAATAAATGATAGACGAATAGTTTCTTTATCTTGTTGTGGAATACTTTCTAAATTTTTTGCCAAAACATGATGAATTTTTTCAGCAAATTTAGGTTCTGTTTCTAATCCAGGATCATTGACAATAAAGTTTGCCCAATTAACCAATGGTAATTCTTTCCATTTCAAACTATTCGTAAGCTCTTGCTGAGTGAAATTTTTAGAAATATTATATGGTATTACTTCAAATGGAATGTCAAAATCTGAGGAAATTTTGTGTGGATTCAAATAAAATTTAATTGTATTTAGAGTTTGAGAACTATCACCGATTTGTGTAAATTTCAAAAGCCGCGTGTCATATGGATTTCCATTTGATAGATAAGAAATCCACCATTTCAAAAGTTTAATTATTTCTTCTTCAGAAAGTGCTCGACTTTTTAGTTCAACCAGAACATCCTCAAAACTTAACTCTGTTATAAGATTTGCACCTTTGGCTTTATTAAAAAAACTTTCACATTGTTCCAACAATTTTTTTGGAACAAGTGGAACTGTCTTTATGAATCCTGCCATTTCTGGATTAGGTAAGCGAACATCAGTTATTGGATGGACACCGTTTGTTGATAAAATAAGCAAGTTCTGTTCCAAACAATTAAAAAATTGTTTTTCTGCTATTTCGGAAACTCGTACATTTGGAGTACTTGCATTGTATGTAAAGTGTGCTATCGCATGTGCTGCCCATTTTTCAAACAATTGACGGTGAGAAGATGTTAATTGCAAGGTAGAAGTGTAATTAGCATGATTACTGAATTTGAAACGTTTTGTAAGCCATTTATATAACGATCTTTTCGTTTTTGGCTCAGGTGCACGCTTTTTAGGCTGTTTTGTTTCTTCATATTCTTCATATTTTTCAATATCAGAACTGATAGTCTCATTACAGAAGATCGACATTTGAGCCATTTCATATTCGTATAAAATTCTGCTCAATGTTCCTCCTAGACATAACATTTCAATGTTATATTCAGCTAATGTTTGTTCAGCAAAATCAATCAACTCTCGTTCCATCTAGAAGAGCATAATTATGTTAAGATAAATGCTAACATTTAATAAATCATGGTATATATAAATTAAAATATACTTACAGTAGGAATCACACGAGCTGCTAAGTGAGAACTAGAACCGGTTGTTTGATTAGTTGGGAAACCAATATATATTTTTCCTTGTTCAGGATATGAAATTAAATCTTCAAATATAGGAGAAAGATTATTATAATAATCTTTGGATGTATTACGTTCATCGAATTCAGTAAAAATCATTTGAATGGATGTATTATTTGGTGGACTTTTCTTAGTTATTCGTCCCATTTTTGCGGAAAATTCTTTACTAATCTTAACGTTCAAACTTCCTTTGGCAATTCTAAATATTGCAGAAGCTTCCTCCATATTATACTCATCTGAGCGAAGATGTTTTATATTTATTTTTTTTGGTAGAAGTAATCTTTCAACGTCTAGTTGGACACATCTAAGTTCTACCGATGTGAGATTAAACATATTTTTTGAAGAAAATGTATTAAACCTAGATGTAATATCAATTGATTCCGGATCTTGCATTTTCTTTGATACTTTTGTTACCAGTTTATCATCGATATACATTGATATTTCTTTAAGGTTATCCGTAAACCCCTATTATTGTTATGGAAGAAATATAATATTAATAAGATTAAATAATAATAGTTAGCGATATTATTTAACTAACTTACCAATGAATTGACCAAGAACTTTGAGAGTTCTTCAATATTTGGTATCTAATTAACGATAAAAAAGGGGATAAATATCATGATATACTGTATATATGATTATTTTTAATTATGTTTAAGCAATATTTACCATTAAGGGTTCCCTAGTGTCCATCAAAAATGTTGTCCAACCTTTGTCATCATCATCGTTCCTTGGTCCTCGTTTCGTGTATATTTGTTTTCCACGCCAATAGAAAGCCATGCCTTGTCCGCCAGAAGTAACACTATTAAATATTAACGTTATTATTATTTATTAAATAGTTCACGGTGAGTAAAAGAGAATAATAAAATACTTACAATGGATTTTCTGTAACAGCAAACAATGAATAAAATCCTACGCCAAAAGCTCCTATCTATTAATGTCATAAAAAGGAAATTTTATCAATAAAAATGATAAATATGATTTAATTAAAAAAAAATTGATATGAAAATCTTTTTTTCTACTTTTTGTTCATCAGGATTTCCTTCAGCAATTCTCACTAAACGCTCCCAATCTTCAGGTCTAAAAGCGAATCCATTATTTTTAAATATTATTCTTGTAATTTTATTGCCATTGGTTTTAAACATAATTTTAGCACTTGATGATTCCGCATCATCTTTATTAAAGTACGTAAACGAAAATAATTAATTTTTTTTTTTTTTGTTAAATTACGAACAAATATATAAAGAATAAATATTTTACCAGAATTTTGCATTAATTCTCGGAATATTACAAATTTACAAGAGTATCTAAAAAGGTATTTTTTTTTTTTAGCAAAACAGGAAATAATGATGTCATCATATTACGTAAGAGTTAACGATTTACCGAGCTAAAATCTTATCAATTAAATCTCTTTGATTGACTTGAACTCGATCCTCGTCAGAGTTTGAAAGGATCTCGTTTCTAAGGGTATCTAAAGACATTGTAAAATATTATGACGAAATTTCATTTAAGAACGTAATGAAAATGATTTTTTTCAAAAAAAAAAAAAAATGAATAAATAAATTGATTATTTATTATTTATTAGTAACATGATAAGGACTGATTATCAATATCAAAAAAAAATCCGTCTATACTTATATTAGTAATATTTGTCCAAACTCAACCATTCAACTAAGAACGGACCCATTGAATATACCTAAAATCTATCCTTATTCAGGTTAGCCATTAAAAAATGCTAGTATATTATCGCATTGTCATTTTTTCTCAAATGAAAGACGAATATAGGAATGCATTGAAAGTTCATAATGATTTTTAATTGATCTGCTATGCACTAAACATTTTTGATCAAATCAAGGTATAAATTAGTTAATATTAAAAAATTTTATGTAATGATAGTTTAGATATATCTAAACATCCGAATTATATGAATATTCCATATTTCCCAGCAATGAATCGAAGCAAAGCCTAATTTCCATTTATGTATAATACACGATCATTTATCTGTCAGTTGACATTGATCGTCAAATCATTAACATATTACTTTGGTTAATCCCGTAGCACCAATAATAATTAGAAAGGCCAAGGGTCTAGGCCATAAACCATAATTATATGGTCGATCAATTTTGTCAGAAACTTTATACAAGTCAAAATAATATCGTGTAAATAATAAAATAACAATAAAATGATAATATTAAATGGGAAAATTTATATAGACATCATAAAATTTCAACGATTACTATCAGATGATTCTAATTAATTTGTTAAGCTAATTATTATATTATATCATTTAGAAGGAACCCGATTTTAAGTAATTTTACGTGCATTTACGCACAGAGGACATTGTGAAATAAATGCCTTATGATCAATAGTCAAATAAATAATAACAAGATGTAACACTTTATTTATTTATTTTGTAATAAAATAAATGATCATTTATATATTGTTTTAACGGAATTTCGTACGTCAACAATAATTAAGATTACATTTATAGATATTTTTATTGAAAAAACTAAACAATGGAAAAAATGATCAGCATACAAAAAAGGACAAAATGTTAACGTTAACAACATTTCATTCGTTTATTAATGCTAAATTTAACACCAAACTCGCCACATTAAAGATCTTTTTATACTTTTTTTTTAATAAATAATAAAAAAAGAACAATAATAAAAAATCTTTAAAAATAAGATTGTGAATTTCCATAAAATTATATCATAAAACAATTTGATTGGTAAATTTATATTTGTAAAGTGCGGATCATTTTTTTTACGACAAACAAATAAAAATTAGATCATAAAAATTAGATTTATAAAAAAATTTTTAAAAAAATAATAAAAATAAAATAATACCTTCTACAGTATTGATGTGTGTCAAATAAAGTCAAAAAGGTTAGATGTGAGGATCAAGGAAATGAATTTAAAATATTATTACCTTTAGCCGTTGAAATCACAACTTTTTTTGAATTACAGAAAGCCACAAAAAATCTATATTAAGGGAAATTAGGAATTTCATGCAATGAAGGTTGCTCCTTACCTATTTAAAAGTAATAAAGTGAGTGTTTGCATATTTCTCTAAAAATTTGACGTATTAGAGTAAATTTTATTATATAAAATAATAATCAAATAAAAGTGGTAATGTGTATTTGTGTACATAACGTGCTCATATGATTGCTGATCATTTCGTTTTACGACATTTTAAAAACCAGCGAAAGTATAAATTACAATTTGTGTTACGCGAAACATTCAAAAATTTTTATTAATCAACTTAAGTAAATCCTTTATATTAAATTCACCCCTCTTGCTTTATATTTACTGTTAATTTGTTTTGAAAATGTGATTTCCTAAAATCCCATTTTTCAGATCAGCATAAAAAAATATTAAATAATGGGCGTAAAATATTAAATATTACACAACATGTCACTTATCCCTTTTAGGACTGATCCTGTAATACAATTATTTACTATTAACTACATAAGCATGTGAATATTGTACTATGCTGTGCCATAATCTTAAAATAACTGATTTTATTAGTCGCGACCAGTTTATTAATAATATTAATTACAACGCTAATAATAATAACCTTTTCTGAAAAACCAAATTTATATATTTTATATTGCTTTGTTAATTTAATTTGATCTAATGCTTCTACAGGGTCAACTCGAGTCGGGTTTGGAGAGCAAGTCTCATAAGTGGTCCGGTCACATATTTTTTATAACTCAACCCTTAACTCGACCTGAGTATAGTTAACTCGGGTTATTCGAATTTTTTAATTTTTTAGTAATAACAATAAAATTGATCTACAAATGATCGTCAACTTTGCAATTAATATAATGACAAGAATACAAATATAACTAATAAGCTAAAGAACTTTAAAATATTTTAAATACACAGTTTAATTTAATTATTTATTATTTATTAAATTTATTTATAAAAAAAAAACGATTCTTATTGTTATATTCTAGTATTTTATTTCTACTATTTTTAACTACTAGGTTAATTCCGGCCGATATTATAATTTGACCAGAGTTACAGCTGTTTTCATAAGACCTGGGACAAAATAAATTTTTGAACCCGACCGCCGACCCACCGATCCGGTTCAGTTGTTATTTATTTTACAAATCAAACTATCAAATCAGGATCACGTGCCCAGCTAAAATACCGGATCGGCGGATCGGCGGATCGGGTTCAAAAATTTAGTTTGTCCCAGGTATTATGAAAACAGCTGTAAAACTTAAAAACATCCGGGTCAAAATCGGGGATATATCGGGTCACCATAAAAACTCCGTAAAAACTGATCCATTCACGGATCCATTCACGGAAAATGCAAATGATTCGATAAATACCGCCTTTTTACGGTAAAAGGATGGAATTTATTAAAAACACGGATCGACTTTTTTTACAGGGTTGCTTCCGTTTACTCCTCACTCTACCGCTTAGCGTCAAAAACAGGGTCAAAATAAGGTAACCATCTACAGAATCAATTACATACAAACAAACGGGATATACAATTTTTAATTTAATAGCCTATTCAGTTACCTGAAGAATTTATATATTTTTTTTCATATTAGATTATTTTGTGACTTTAACCTTGGTTTATACTATTTATATAACACTTTCTATTATATATGGTAACAAATTTTACTATACTACCTTTATTCGATAATCAAAGTATGCATGATATCATGTAAATATTTTCGCTTACATTTTAGTTCAGTTATCAAGAAATCTTCAGTTTATTAATTAAATGATACCCGGTAAACAGGAACGTACAAAAAAAAAGATAAGAATAAGGGCCAGGCTAATAGGATTTTCTGTTTAACGAGAAAAAAGAGAAAGGAGGGAGGGGGTTAAAAATAATTTAAAAATTTTTAAATTGTTTTTAATAAATGGGGGGAGGAAAAGTAATCTAAAAATTAGATTTGTCTATTGGGGATTTGTTAAACAGAAAATCAAAATTGATCCAGCCCAAATGAAAATAAAGTACAAGAATGTACGATAAACATAAAATAGAATATAATAAAGTCAGGGTTGTGAAAAATAAAAAAATAAAAAAGTGCAAAGTAAAATAAAAATATAAAGCACTACTACAATTTAAAAGTATTTTAACTGAAGAATGAAATATACGAAAATATTTGAGAAAAAAATATAATTAATGAAATTAATTAAAATTAATAACTGTTAAGAGGATTTAAAGCGTCAGGCCAACAATTTGTGAAGTTAAGTAGGAATTTTTTTGAATGGCAGATAACAATTACATTATAGAGCATGGAGTTGATGGCGGAACATTAAGAGGATGATCTGTTGTATTAGAAGTAACAATAACAACAGGTTTAACAGTGGAAGTTGATGGGTTCATTTTGGTTAGATTTGTTTTTAAGATTTTCGAGAATTGGTTTGTTTTTTTGATTTATTTGATAAGTGTGATTTGTTTTTGTTCTTGAACCTTTTTTTTTTTCTTTGCTTTGATGAGAAATTTTACAAGGACGAAATCAGAGGTATTTATAATAAATCGAACAAACAAATTTTAGACGTTCAAAGTTCATATAATTAAAGCATAGATTATCTTAATTTATTTTTTACTTATTGCATAGCTCATTTTTAATGTCTTACTATCTTACGTAATTTATTTTTCACCGTTATCTCTTTTCCCACGCATTGCATTGTTCATTTTTAATATTCTCCCGTTGATATTTTTATATTTTTACTTTTTTTATCTTTTGTAGTTTATTTTTAACCTTCGCCATTATCTTCTTTTCTAAGAATTAATATTCTCTCGGTGATGTTTTTATTTTTTTTTTATCCTTTATGTAGTTTATTTTTAACCTTCGCCATTATTTTCTTTTCTAAGCATTGCATTGTTCATTTTTAATAATGTTTTTCGTTTTTTTTTACCTTTACGTAGTTTATTTTTAACTTTACCATTATCTTCTTTCTAAGAATTAATATTCTCCCAGTGATGATTTTATTCTTTCTTATCCTTACGTAATTTATTTTTAATCTTCACTATTATTTTCTTTTCTAATAAGTATTGCATTGTTCATTCTTAATAATGTTTTAATTCTTTTTTATCTTTACGTAGTTTGTTTTTAACCTTTATCATTATCTTCTTTCCAAGTATTAATATTCTCCCAGTGATGATTTTATTCTTTTTTATCTTTACATAGTTTATTTTTTAATCTTCGCTATTATTTTCTTTTCTAATAAGCATTGCATTGTTCATTCTTAATAATGTTTTAATTCTTTTTTATCTTTACGTAGTTTATTTTTAACCTTTATCATTATCTTCTTTTTTAAGCATTGCATTGTTCGTTTTTTAATATTCTCCCGTTGACGTTTCAGATATAATTTTAAAATAGTACTATGCAGTCTTTACTATTTTAAAAAATCAATATGCTCGACCAATCAATGGTGATGGATTTGCGGGACAAGCAAGGGTGATCACTTCTTTTTCACATGCTGAAGTTGATCCAAATTATCCCATA